CTGAACCGGAGTTGGCAACTATGCGTTTATTTCCATGTCATTCTGTTTACTTGGAATTTGCACTACACATGTTGTGAGTGTATGCTTTATTTATTTGTAGTTTGAAATCCCATGTCTGAAAGAGAGAGGAAAGAAAAAAACCCATTTATCTAGTGTTTGTTCACTAACATGGGAAGCGTTGTGATGATTGCAGAGCGCTGAGATCATCTTCATACACGGTGATGCAATATTTCGCTGTCGTTCCATCAGGAGCCTCGATCCTGTAGCAATAAATAACAGTACGGATATATTTCTAATATGCGGTACAGCTACTTGTACTGCTTTCTGAATACTTGAAGAAAATGGTATTATAAATAAGCCTATTAGCTATACCTTTTTACAATCTTACCAGTTCGTGGCAACTAAAGGAACACACAGAGGCGATGAATGGTGGGATGGTAATGAGACTTCGAGTGTATGAATGACTTGGTTTAAATGTTTTTGGCATTGAAGAAGGTACAAAAGCACTGACCGGATGATTAAGCATAATTTAATCTCCACTGTGATAAAACTTAAGCAATAAACATGGATTTAATAGAGAAATTCTGTTGTTGGAAGTATATTTTTATTCAAACGAATGCTGTTTGAAGTACCCAATGTGTGCGTATATGAATGTGTATGCATGTTAAAATACACAAGTTCTTTGTTCGCCGTATAGACAATCATACATGATATGTATTTGAAATCAAACATTACATTTTGGGAACGTAAATCTTTTTCCTGTAGGTCAAGTCAGTGTTGAGTTAATTGAAAGACTAAATGCCTAACCAGATTTTTTTTTTAATGCATTTTTAAAACTCTTTTTTTTACATTTATGTGAACGTTTCTGGTAAAGTACAAGCTTTTTGTTTTTTTTTCTCCCTGTGCATGTTAAGTTATATCTGTGTTTCCTAAAAGCACAAACAAAAGTTTTCATAATGATAGATGAGATTTGACTTCTGAATAGTCTTTTTGGATGTAAACTCCTTTCAGTTCAGCAGCGTAAAGAGGGAGCTATGGCTTTATTAATTTTATTACCTTACTTCTAGAAGGGTCTGATTCACCTGAACTGCAGAACTGTCTGTTTTGTTTGAAGTTGCTTTCTTCTGCAGTTCAAATATGGTCTGCTATTGTAGTTACTTTTCAGCTTCCCCCCTCAGCAATACAGGCAGCTGCATTTGCCCGTACCAGTGGGTGATGCTGCTGGTTTGAGGGGAACCTTTCCACAGAGCATGTCTGAGAAGAAGAAAGAGGTGCAAACCTAGCCCGTGCTTTGCTCGGCCGTTCCTGGGGCAGGTATGCGGAAGTCCCGATCCCCCGCTGCTGTTTGTCCCTATGCACCCTCAGCTGCCCCTGCGCAGCGGCAGTGCCGCTGGGCTGGGTGATGCGCCAGCGTCGTGCGGCTTTTGGAAGGGGCTTAACCGCCCTCCCGAAAGGGCGTTCGTGTCTGCAGAGAAAAAGGAAGCTGACTGGAACAACCGATACGAACTGCTCTCTGAGGAAAAATGAGCAGCCAAGGTACAGCCACAAGCAAGAGCGTAGCAGATGCAGAGGCTTTCAAAGAAGCTCGAGACTTGGGCCTTTCACCATAGTAAGTTTTAGGTGTTCTCCTTTCTTAATTCCTTGGAATATCTCAACTATTCAACAGCAAAGCAGCCATAACGTAACACAACAGCTTAATTACCACCTCCAGAAATAGCTTCTGGAGATGGTCATCAAGTACTTTAAGGAAATCAACAACTGTGCTGCCAGTTCGTTCTTACTCCCCAGATCACTTGCAAAATCAAGTTTGTAATACTGTTCTCTGTTAATCTCTTGAGTTCTTGAAAGGTACCAATTTTCATTAAGATAACTACTTAACTTGCTAGTTATGTTCTATCACATGGTCAGTACACAATATTACTGTAGATAGTCTCATTTGCGCACCTGTAGCGAAGAGACAATTAAAATATTAGTGTATGCATATAGCCATTTAAGCAAAATTATAGCCCTGTTTATTTCCAGGATGCTGAATTCTTCCCTTTAATTTGCTTGGGTGCCCATGTGTGGGTTTTCCTGTAGGTCGAACTGAATACACACGCACATTTGTGTTGGCGGGGAACAGGAGGAGACCCTTTGATTCTCTTCTGAAGCTGAGCCGTGCTTCACTTGCTTTGGTGACTTTCAGAATACATGAGCACTTTCATGAAATTTTTGGTGGGTTTGATGTCTTGGCAAACGACCCCATCTTCCTTGCATTGCAACACTAGAGATGGCTAGTGGCCACTTAAGAGGAAGAATGATTCTTGTTTCACGTGACATAATTTTTCAACATGATGGAATTGTAATCTTTCCTGCAATGAGATCACTTTTTTGAAATGTGTTTCTGTTTGGAAAGGAATGAAAGATGAAGTTGCTGGGTACAACAAACCCAATATTAAACAAAGAATTGCCTTAGTTAGCTTATGTATCGGAGTAAATGGGGCATGTGCTTGTAAAAAGTGGGCTGTAGTACTATTACGTGTTTTAGTTTGTGCTTCTATGAAATAGTGATATTCTGATTTCCAACGAAGAAGGCAACACCCTTTATGAGAAGATTCAGCTATGCAAATATGGGAAAAGCATCTCTGAAGTCATGTCATGACTATAATCAAGTTACGGTATATGCGTGTGTTAAAGTGAATCTGAGTGCTACTTTACTGCCCTATGCTTCTGAAGAACATATATGTTCAACTTTTAACAGTTTACAAATAGGATGAAGGATAAGGATGAAGATCTTGCGAGGAGAAGAAGGGAGGAGAAGTAATTTCCCTCAGAAATGTCATGTTTGTTATTTTCTGTATAAGTTACTCATATAGAACTGATTCATCTAGGTTTTTTTGTCATTGGTTTTAAAAAACAAAAAAAACGAAAAAAACACCTAAATCTGATTTACTTGTAAAATAACAAAAATCCTGATCATTTTGTGCATCCCAGTCCTTGGTGTTCTCAGTTACTCTGTAATGAAACAAAAATTCATTGTTAGATAAGGTGATGTTTCACATACTTTGAGGAATTGAAGTCTGAATAGTGAAGGAAATCTCAGAATGTAATTGGTGGAAGTGACTGTTGTCTTCTCGTGTTCCTTGTGGCAAAGAAGATATGCTTAATCTGTATTATTAGGTAATAAATAGGAACTAGAAAAATTGCAAGACAAGAAATGTCAAAAATCTGTGTTCTGAGCTACCTTGGGATATCATTGTGATCAGGTTCAGGAACTGCATTGTAGCTGTACGTTTCAGCATGAATTTGGGGAACCTCAGCTGAAGGATCTCTTGATTAAAGTTTGTCAAACTTGTGTTTGAACCACAAGCAACGATCCTCAATGAGATCGAAAGTGCTGTCAGAAATACTGCTGTATGAAAAACAGACAGAAGCATCAACTTAGCAACGCAGCCTAATTGCACTGCATGGAGTGTTAATGGGCTTTATTTAATGTCAGTATGATTATGTGTTGGCAATGAAATAATTATATGTCTAGGTGTAAACTGCAGCTGGAAGGGAGCAACTACTAAAGCAAGAAACAGAATAAGGATTGTTACTTCTCACAAGTAACTTGAAGATTTTTGAAGGTCAAATTGTGTGTAATGTACTCCCGCTGGTATCTTCTAACCAGATCCAGATGGTATGTGGTGTGGGTTTTTTTTTTGTTTGTTTTCACTTTTAGTCTTTTACCCAGGTGGCCAAGGCCCTCTTTTATATACTACTTAGTTTATGTTGTTGTCATTAACTTATTAATATGAGCATTTATATAGTGTCTTCTACAAATCCAAATGATTT